CGGACATTTCGATTTTGAGAATATCGATTTCGTGGTTCTATAAAATTCAACCCAACTATTGTAATCGGAATACGTCGGAATTTGTTGGCTGGGTTCAGAAGCTTTCGTTTTACACAGAACTGCGTAATGCTAAGTACATGAAATACTCTCTGCGTGTCTAAGCTATTGTAATCAGTTTTCAGGAAACATCAGTACGTAATATAGAAATAGATATAACAGATTTTGAAGTCAAATCCATGGATAGCAAAATTTTTAATCAGTAATAGACGAGAAACTGTTTTAACCCAGATAGTTTTCATTGTATCATTAAAGACACCAATCTTATCATGAGACTTGGCTTGACTTAGTCCTCTTTGCCCCTCGTAAGACATAGGGCTACCACCATCGCTCTCCATAGGACCCTGTTATTCGCGTTCTTCTCGGTCTCACCCCATGTCTTCCCGATGTTATCCAGTTCCTTTGTCACTGTCCGTCTCCACGACTGTCACGGTTTTGGTCTTTCCTGTTTCCTTTTACCTTGAGGGTTCCACGCCATGGTCATTCTGGTGGTGTTTTCTCTCTCGTTCTTCAAGGTATGCCCAATCCATTTCTTCTCGTTCAGTTCTTGCCCACGGTTCCTCATTGGTGATGACATCTGGCCCAAACGATACCGAGAATCTGGCAGAGTTATGAGAATTAAGGGGAGGGGTGGATAGGGGTATGCAAATCCATCGATCCGTGCCTTTTTTTTTTTTCACCAAATCCGTCGATCCGCCAATATTTTTGTTCAAATCCGAAACTACAACCACATCCAGAAACAGAAGTGTAAAGATCAAAGGTGAACTGGTAAATGTGAATACCATTGTTAACTTCGCACAAATAGTAACGAAGGCAACATGCTTGATGACTATATCACATGCAGTAAAATTCCAATAACAGTCTCACACCTGAGTTTAAATGAGCTTCGTTCGAAAAAGGAATAACTTTGATGAACTCATTAACATACCGACCAAGGCTGAAGAAAGATTTGTAGGACCCAAGATCCAAACATCAAGACAAGCACAATCCGGAATCCGCGCCAAAATTCACAGCTGATCCACGATCCACTGTGTTTTCAAAATCCGCGCATCCGCTCGATTTACCGCAAAAATCCACAATCCGTGCGCTTTTTGAGGCCAAATCCGTCGATCCGAAAACCTATTCACCCCCCTCGTTAAGTGCTTTTTTTTTTCTTAATTTCCCGTGCGTAAAACGAGTTTTGAGGAAATAACGCCTTAACCTCCTCACCCCTCCCCCTCCACATACTATGACAAGTAAAAGAAAAAGAACAAACGCACACACAAAAAAACAAAAAAACTGCTGAATGTGAATGTCGTTTAGCCGAGAAGAACATGGAGGAATGTAGTTACACACGTTGCAACGTAGTTTAGTCGAACAGAGCAATGAATTGTCGAAAATGTTGTAAAATAATGGCAGCCAAAACACGATATGTAACAGATGTCAAATTTAATGTTGACCTACAATGCAAACGTCTCCCGCAGAATAACAGGGGGACTGACGACTGACAGGTTTATACTGCAAAGAGTATCTGCTTTTTATACTTGACAAGCTCAAGCAGCTGTATAAAAATACCCGTGCGAATTCTTCTTTCGACGTGAACAGCATAGTATGACTGAAGTATCAACCAAAACGAAGAAAATCGATGTAAAAGCGCGGCGCACAGCCGCCATTTAGTTCCAAGCCGATTCGAAGTAACAGACCGCCTCGTTTGTAAGCGCATTGCACGATTATTTGAAAGATTGTAGATATTAACATAACAAAAGAGAAATTTTAAAGAAAAGAAAACAAGCTACAGAATTTTATCAGGTGTGTAAACAGTTGCGTTGGCCTAGTGTGTGCTTTAAGACGTTTGAAAACAAAACAGTTGGTTCTTTCAAGTTGTGTGGTCGCACGCCAAAGTTCTCGTGTCCAATAGTTTGTTTGTCCAATTGCACCACAGGGAAAAATTTTGAGGAATGTGCAAGCTGTAAAGCGTCACATAATTGATTTTATAACATCCTTGACCTCACAGACACGGACAAAAACTAGTTGTTTGTTTTACCCAAATTATTTTAAACGATTTGTCGTGGCCTGTTCCATTGTGTTTATTTGCATTATGAGTTAATTTCGCTGCATATGTTTTCATTTTCTAGCGTAACAAACGGCCGAATTTACTCAATCGTGTAAACACGGCATTGACAAATGTAACATGGAATATTAATTTAAAGGGAATTACGTTATCGTTTAAGTTAGGGAGGCTCCGGAAAGAAAAAAAAAAACCTCAACATGCAAAGTTGCGCTTAAGATTTTTTTCAAGACATCTTTACCATCTGTTGTCAATCAGAACCAGACGCCGAAGAGAGTTCGTTTTGACTGAGTGAACTTACAATCACTCTTTCGCCCATTTATCCCTGAAATTGTGCTTTTTTAAACCTTCATCAAGAGAAAAATATATAGAAATTGTTTCTTATCGTAGCATTGGCTATTACATTTGACAAATGACACCAAAAATTAAGGGTTTTTTAGTAGGGTAAAACGAGCACCACAAGAAATAGTGTCAATTGCTAAAAGACTTTTTAATAGGATTCAATTTCGGATATACTCCAATTCGGGAATAAGGATTTTGTTGTTTGATATATTATTTCATTTAGCGACGTTTTTTGTTTGCCTACGGATTTCCTTGGTGGGTTTATCTCCCCAAGTCAGGCATTTTTCTGTAGCTGTTGAACATGTGGGATGTTGGCATTAATGTCTGTTTTCCTATCCAAATGTTGTGATCACAGATTTTGATACAAAACGTGAGAACGTGGCCAAGCGAAGCAAAGACAGTCTTTGCGTGGAAAATTACCTGTAAAATAGCAGGGGGAATGTCCTATTTTTATTTTAATTATAGTTAAAGCGTTGTCAAAAGCAATGCAAGCATTATCAGCGTTTATCCATGGCGAATTCTTTGCAGCGAGAAACGACGAAATAGAAAATGTGTTCAACAGTTGAAGAATGCCTAAAAACCGAAAAGTCTGCTTTGAATTAGCTAGCATACTATTTCAGAGTTGAGCTAACGCGTGATAAATGAACTTGTTGCCTTTGTTTGAATGGGAATCACCACATTCTTATGAGAAACCAGGATTTCTTTGTGTTTTTTTCTGACATCAGTGACGAAAGACCGTCGGTCCGTATCATTTGCTGTTGAAATCGCAGTCAGACTTCACGAATCAAAGCAGAATGTAGTGGAATACAATATTTTCAACGTCTGGTTCTTGTTGACAACGAAAAGGCTTTCAGATGCGCAGAGAAGGGAAGGAAATCACGAAAAAAATTTAATTCGCTCTTTCATGTGCAAAATCGATTACGATAATTGTCGGGTTTTTACAAGGAATTAAAAATCCATTAGGAAGGCGTGCCAGCAGAGTTTTAAAAAACATCAGGGAACAGACGGGGAGAGTTGTAAATCGCTGAAAGAAAAATGCATTTTAGTTGTTGTATCTTCTTAAGCCGCAGCCGAGGTTTAACTTTTGACAGATGGATTTGATGTCTTGCATGTGTATTATTATGTGTGACATTTGGTTTGTTTCATGTACAAACACGCTCATTCAAATGCCCCTAAATAAACGCCGTAATGCAAATGATTTCTTCATATGTTGTCGGGACAAGACACACAGAGTCGCTTGCAATGGTTTTGCTCTTTACTCGCCAGGCTATTTTACAACTTGGAAAACATTCAACAACTACATAAACTTGTCGGTACATTCCTTCGGTCGGTTTATGGTATAAAAAATAGGCTTAGCGGTCTCACAAATCTGTATTTGGGTTAAGTCTTGTTTGAACAACAGACAAGAATCAAATACAAAAACAACTCGTCATTTGCAAGTTAAAAAGTCGCCGCAATTCCACACTCGCGCCACTAAAAGCCGAAAATCTTCTAATACTGTTTAAGATCTCGTAACACTATTTCATGCGAACGAAACTGTTCCCAGATGTAATTTTCTGGACATTTTCTAATTGGCGCATTCTGAAGTCAAATTTTGAAGCTTTCGAAAAGTTTCGGAAGCCATTGAAGAGTCTCTTGCTGTTCAAATAAGCATTCCAGGACCTTCTTGAACTTGCACTGCGCTCAATTTTCCGGTATTTTCTGCGTATTTTGATCAAGTCATTCTGGCAATCTTTGCATCTGCTTGGCTTTCCTGCAAAAACAACAAACAGAAGATAAGCTATCTCTGGCCTGGGAAAACGCGAGCTCCTGAGAGATTAACACAAACAGGCTCCGTGCAAATATGGTAAAAGTGGTATGTGTCGAATTGTAACATCTGTTGAACATTTTTACTGAGTTTCCTTCAATCTGCTTTTAGATTTTGACATTAACGAGGACTGCGTGCCCACTTCAAAAAGCCATATGGAGCTGGATTCCTTCAGTGAAAACAGATTAACTTCGTTCCATGTTATTTTCCTCCGCTTCTGTGAGGATTTGAAAGTAAACTGTTCCCAGTCTTGTTCAATATTCGACAGATTTAATTTCCATAAGTGTACGCGAGAGCAGAAAATTACGTTTTGCGGTTACTTACAGTCCTAAAAACAGCAGCCCGTTTTGAAACGAAATACCTTTCCTAATAGGCAAAAGCCAGAAGTTTCTTAAATTAATGAAAACAAATTTTCCAGACTACCAGTCTATGGACAGGGACGGACAATCAGGAAACCTTTGACTCTATCAGCTTTCTAGTTGAGTTTCCGCTGTTTCGCGCGAGTATATGAATATATCTGTTCGTAGAGAGATCTACTGGTTTATGTAAAGGATTTTACGTGTCTTTCGGTTGCTTCTGGTCGAGACATCTCGGCACAGTGAGATTGTTTTAAATTAATCCCTCTGTTTTGTAAGCCAGTCTTCAACATTACGTGTAGTTTCCGCAGGACACCAGAAGGAAATATCACGCTTATCAGCCACCCCCATGCCCATGTTGCTGGTAAAATGCGAATACCACGAAGTTAATTCCGATACTACCCTTCTCGCACTATGTTTATCTGATATTTGACTTAATTAATACACTGCCATATCTTAAGTAATTTCCAATACTGAATCCCCCTTTCCTCTCATGAACCCGTCAAGCGGAGTAAATAACCCGGTTAAATGACTCCCGTTTAAGGCTACCAACCATTATTTCGTGACTAAAGTGACATATTTTTGTCGATATGAAACAACTGAGGAACAAAAGTCACAAAACTTACATACCTCACTACTCAACGGTTGTAAGATATTGTGCTCAGTGGTACCCTATCTGTTCTGTTCGTTGAATCCTTCACGAAGTTGTTCGTCTGTAGATGCGGCAGTTCCAAAGCTGACTCGAGATCTTGAATATAGTCGATAACATGTTGGAGGATCTCGACCTTGCTCATTCTTCTTCGTGCAGGGATATCCGGCACCATCGCTCTCAGCCTCTCATAACAGTCGCTCATGTTGTAAATACAGCCTTGCTCGACTTGTGAACCACTGGAACTCCGAGCGCTAGCTCGTGAAATGCTTGATGCCGTTGTGGAAGTCGAGCGCAGTGAGTCTTCGTCGACGCTAAGGCTGGGTTTCGCGGACTGAGGTTTCATGTTTGTGTTTTGCGTGTTGGAACGCTTGGTAGAACTCACAGATGCGCACCGCTTCAAGGACAGTGAAGGTATTTGGCCGCGCGCGGAAGCAACTGTGTTTTGTCCAAGAGCTCTCTACGCGGGTTTCTTACTTGCAGCTGTGTAAACTTGGTGACAAATTTAAACCAATCGCAGGCGGGCCGAGGGAGGCCTGGCAAATAGCTAAAGAGAAATCAAAACATGGCTTGAAACACGTCAGGTAAACCAACACAACGTCCAATCACAAGCAAGATCCTGTCGGAAACTGGCTTTCCGAAATTCACTTTACGCGCACACAGTATTAGTGTTCTATTTAAAGACCTCCAGGTGTTCAATAAAGGATATAAATAAGCCGTATATGGTGGTTAAAGTCATCAAAGTGCGCTCAGCTCTAGCACGGGTTGATCTTGTCACAGAGATGTTATTTTAAAAAACTGATTTTGCAAAGCCTGACGTAATAAGGCATATGTTATCGTCAAACGCGCCCTCGAATTGCCTTGTTTATTGTTTGGCTAACCGTAATACTACTGTCGGTGAGTTTGGGTAACATTTTTAGTAAAAAAGCTTCAAGTTTTAGTTGTTTGTTTTCAGTACCATCCTGTATCCATTCAGCTTAATTTACTTACAATCACCATGCGCTCTTCAAGAACGTGTAATTGAGCTTTTTCACTAAAATATCATCGTCTTTAATTTCAAACACTTCTCCACGGGAAAATCGTCAGGACTCAAATTTATAATTCCACACTTCACTCGTTTAAGACTACTGTTTATGAATGTCCTAACAATTTCGGGAAATTGTTTATGCCAAGGAGCATAGGCTTAGAACTACAAGGCTGTTAAACATGCCTAAAAGCTTTTTGAAACCGTATTTCTTCCTTTGGTCAAAACATCTGTTTTAATTTTGTCTAAAAGTTCTGCTATATCTGTTTCACCTTTTTGCTACATGTGTTATTTTACTAGTTCGTACCCTTTGATAGATTAAAACAACGGAAATGCTTTCCTTTCTAAAGCTGAACGAAAAATATGCTTGTCGCCGGTGACATTCTTTCCTCGTCTGTTTGCGAAAAAGAAAGAAACTAAGTCTTCGCTCATCAAGTGTACGTTGACTTTAACCAAGAAAAGAAGTTTAATAAGTAATACCAGCATTCCTAAAAAGAAATTAACCTAACCCTATTTTGTCGCACAAACAGATTTGCTATCTTGCTTGAAAGCCCTTTGTTTTTAAATCGAAGCAGTACAGCCTGATGAAAAGCAAATCTTATCTTTCCCCTTTGCTCAGACGTAAGATCTGGGAGCCTTTTACCAATAGTATCATAATAGCTTTAAAAGACATAAAACATGCGCTTGGCCAGGACGCACTTGGAGGGCAGCTGTCGTTTTTTATAAGCTGTGAAACGACACTTTGAAAGCTGCGTTTGTTTTCTTCTTTCCTGATGCCGTGACTTACGCCTCCGAAACAAAAACTCTGCGTTTGAGCGCAGTTTCGTTCACAAGGCGTCTTGTGAACGTTTGCTTTTGGTCTCAGTGCAAAAAAGCCATCAGACATAGCTGTCTCGGAGTTCATTTCGATCGTTAGATCTCTAAACAAGCCAGTGTCTTTTTTCTTCGCCTTATCTTGCTGCTTGATCAAACTTATCAAATACGCGTGTTGGCGATTAGCTGTTTGACTGGTTTATGTAGATTAATGGGAATTTACGTCTGGGATGAGAATTTAGCAGCTGGTTTGGCTGTCGCCACGTTCACGCCCCCAATGTCAAGATCAGGCGATGTAGTTCATAAATAGTTTCCGGTTATATTGGGCAGACAGCTATTTAAACGAGTGATAGAGCCTGGAGCCTGGGCGCCAGAATTTTTCTACGCCCCAGTAACTATAGAAAAATCACGCACAATCTGGTTGAAAGGAAACTGTATAATTTATCACACAGTGGAAGCTGTTTTCAAGGAAATCTCCATGAAGCTAACGCTCAACACTGCACCTTTTCAGAAGTTCTAATGTTTAGACAAACTTCACCTCCATAAAAAAACCTCCAGAAACTTCTATGTTAAGGATGGTGGACTGAGTAAAATCTGCGCTGGAGCTTAGTGGACTGACTGACTGACTGACTGACTGACTGACTGACTGA